TGAATATTAGAAAATCCTTTAAATATTTGGCCCCAATATAAAGTAAACCCAATGGGATCATAAAAAAATGGTTCTCAAAATTCTTTAAAATATACAATCAGTAGTGTGCATTAACCGATCCGAAGCCACCCCCCACATTTTGACCTTGACCTTGGCTCCGCCCCCTTGACCGGACTCAGGTAACATTTTCAAGGTCAAGGGGTAGAGCTAAAGTCAAGATCGTGGTCACCTGTAAGTTTCAGTCAAAAAAAAAATAAATTAAAAATTCATAAAACCACAGATGATTACATTTTAAAAAACAAACGTATATAATTTGGGGTTATGAGACACTAACAATAATAAACATAAAATAAAATTTAGGCAAATTAAAAAATTAAAAAAGCACACAGGACTTGGTTGGAAGTGAACCCGTACCGTCTGAGTGCATTAAAGATTACCCCCAAACGCACAACTCAACTCAACTCAACTCAAAATTCTTTATTTAAATAAATTCATAGGTTATAATACATACGGGTAGGGGAGTGAGGCCCCCCTCAAACAAAACATACATAACATTTACTTAGCCTAAGGACATGACTTATAAACTAAAAACTCAGTGTGCGCAGCACACTGCGTGCCACATGCGCGCCTTGCGCGCTGTGTGGCACTACTTCTAGCTTAGCCGATGTTTTGGCCGACAAACCACTGTTCTTTTCCCATTGGATCTGCTCTCAACGTTCCCTGGTTGCCCTTTCACGTTCTTATGTGACCTTTCGGTCGTTGGTAAATAGAGTAAAAATCAAACGAGAAGAAGCCACTGTCATCAGCGCTGACAAAGAAAGCAGATTTCCTTTTCTCTGCGTCCCTGCCATTTAAAGTGAGACAAACGATAACCCGTGTGGCTTCTCGTTTGATTTCTACTCTACCACGGATGGCGCGCATTGGGCCACTATACTGGCCTGCTCAAAAAATAGGGGTTAATACTTGATGTGGAGTGCCGAGCGCGCAGCGCCCCCTTTGTGGGGAAAAGTTCCAAAAAGACACACTTCCAATTTACTTACTCATACATAAAACAAAGGTAAAGTCGTGCCCCGTAGGGCGTTATGGTTCATGGACGCTTCCTCAACAACAAAGTATGAGCTCTAGGGTATGTGCGCGTGAGCACGGGTTTGGATTAAATGGGGTCGACAGCCCTGCACCCCGACCAATCCTGAGACCTAATGAGTCTCTAGGTAATGGTTTGGGTGCAGGTGGAGGAAGTTTGTGAGGGATGTCAGAGAATGAGGGTTGAGAGGATTGGGTGCAAGAATCTACCGGGATTGGGACCAATTTAGCTGAAAATAGCTAAATTGGGTAGTTTTCGCCTAAGTGTAGTGGTCAGATTGGGGTTGTCCGATGAATAATTAGACAAGTGTATTTCCTCATAGCCAGCGATAAAGGAGATGTTTCACACTAGATCGCTGGCTGGTTGGAATTTTCCGAAGAATAGATGATAGAAATTAGACCTTTGTTGGGATTGCCAGAGCCTCCTGCTTTAGGCTAAGGCAGATAGCGCTAGCACCAAAATTCTTGTCTAATTGTGTCTTGAAGATACGATTTTAGCTGTGCATTGGTGTAGGTTATTTACTTGGGTGTGTGATTAGCAGATTCGGGATAGGGAGGCGTTCATGGGGGTTCAAAATAGATAGGTAGATTCTTGTAAGGCGGACCGTGTACTATGGGGTTCTCTGGATTATATCTTTGTGCGCTTATTCCGCGAGTTAGAGGGAAGCCGTGAATTTGCTGACAATAAAATTTGTCGCTGATTTTATCGAGGTAGTCAGATTCCGACAGCACTTCCCTCAGGATTCGATTTTGGAATCGCTAGAGTCTGTTCCTCTGTGTTCTCGAGATTATATTCCAGACAGGGGCCCATAGGTGAGCATAGGTCTTATGACCTGTTTATAAATTAATAATTTGTTACCTGGCGATAGGGGGGAGTTAGGACCGATGAGTGGGTACAATTTCTGCTGCGCACTGAAGGTGCGAGCCAAAGCGTGGGAAACGTGGTGGTGGAATTTCATTCTCTGATCAAAGATGATACATAGGTATTTGGCTTTTGGGGACAGAGTAACTGGGATGTTAATGACGATAAGTTGGGTGGGCATGGTGCTATTGGTATGCTTCTTGTGGAAGCATATGAGCTCCGTCTTTTGACCATTAACACCAAGCTTCCACTGATCGTAATAAGGTTGAAGGATTGCGAGGTGATGGGCTAGCTGAAATTTTGTTGCTTGTGTGTAAAAGGATTGAGTGTAAACAGCGGTGTTATCTGCGGACAGCGCCAGATTTGTATTCTGGAATTTTGGAATGTTTGCTGTGTAGAGTGAATACAGCAACGGACTGAGTGCCGACTCCTGCGGCACTCCGGCCTGAATTGGTTTGGAGTTTGAGAGGGCGTCGTCTTGTTTGACGCAGAAAGTGCGGCCGCTGATGAAAGACTGTATCAGGGAAATGATGTGCAGTGGGAAATTGAAAATTGCGAGTAATTTGTAGATAAGGCCTGCGTGCCAGACCCTATCGAAGGCGCGCTCCATATCCAGGAGTAGAAGTGTCGTGTTCATGCGCCTGTTGAACGCTTAGAAAGTGTCGTAGCAGATTTTGGCTGCAAGAAGAGTGGTGTTGTGACGGGAGCGAAATCCGAACTGCTCGTTTGGTAGTATGGGGGAGTTTTCGACGATCCTGTTGACCCTGGACAGGATTAACTTCTCCACCAGCTTGGCAAAGGAGTTTAGAAGGGAGATTGGGCGGAGAGAGGATGGGAGTGAATGGTTTTTTTCCACGTTTGGGGATCATAACCACCACAGCCATTTTCCATTGAAAGGGAAAATGCTGGAGTTAGAGGATTGCGTTTGTTATTTGTACCAGCTGGACAATAACTTTATGCGGGAGATTTTTGAGGACTCGATATGGGATGCCATCTAGTTTGGGGGCCTTCTCGCTTGGGAGCCGGCGGATAAATCGTGTCATCTCGCCGGGCGTGGCAATGAGTTCAGCGAGCAAGTGCTGGGGGATGGGGTATTTCCGAATAGCAAGGGCTGTCGCTGTACGTTCGATTTCTTCCTGTTCAGGGGAGTTTGGTGGGAGACCGGAATGAATACTCTCCATGAATGAAGCCAGAGCTTCCGCCTTGTCTTGGGCAGTGACGCAATCCCTGCCATTACTAGTAATGGCAGGGGTACGCACAGCTTGCCGCTTCATTTTGGACTGAAGGCGGCATAGAGAGTTGTCTTGAGGACGTAGGTTCTGGAGGGTTTGTGTCCATCTACGGTTCCGAAGCTTGCTGATGGCATTTTCAATGGCACCCTCGAGCTCCCGAACTCGTTGGCGATCCTCGTCCCTTCGGAGGCGTTGCCACCTCCTCCGGGTGCCATTCTTTAGAGAAATTAGATCTATGAGCTCTCGAGAGAGCTCGTCACGGACAGTTACCCGGTTAGCAAGGGGAGTTAGGGGATGTTCCTGGTCAAGGTTGATACCTCTTGCTCAAGAAGCGTCTACGGTGTCAATTTGACCAGGAGCTTGGGTACGGGTATTGAGATTCTGCCGAAACAGGGGCCAATTGAAGTTTTTATAACTTAGACGAAATTGTGGGCGGGAAGGATCAAGTTCGCCCCAGGTGAAGAAGACGGGTAGATGGTCCGAGCTCAGGGCGTTGATCGTAACAAGATCGGAAAGTTCCCTGAGTCCTTTGCTGATGGCAAGGTCAATGTATGTAGGTGTCATGTTATTGCTGGAGTAGTGGGTGGGCGATTCAGTACTGAGGAGTATCGATTCCGGTCGGTCGTTGACGAAATCATTTAGGATCATACCGTTGGTATTTCCTTTATGACTCCGCCAAAGTCTGTGTCTAGCGTTTAGGTCTCCAAGCAACAAGGAGCGAAAGTTTTGGGGGAAGAACGGAGTTAGGTTGGCTACTGATAGACGGGTCTGCAGGGCGTTGTAGCTGCCATTGATCAGAACGCAGAAATTGCATCGTCAACCCGGCCGGAATTCTAGGAAGACAGTTTGTTACGTTTAAAGCACGTCTGGAAATTAAATTGGGTTCGAGAGAATAAAACTTCTAGATAAATTGGGAGTTATTGAGCTAGTTCTTTTTGCAACGCACTTTATTTTTTTCATATTTTTTTTTGTACAGGAAAAGCGTGGCAAGTTTTGATTCGTGAGTTTTAATAAACCCGAAATTCGTGACCCTAACTTTCGTTTTGTGTCTTCTCAAGAAAGTAAATAACTTGGCCTGATAATGAAGAAAATTTTGCCAAAACTATAAGATTCTCATCTACGATTGTTATTGAACTATTTTCGTTTTTAGATCCCTATTTTGTATTGAAAGGCAATGAAACCATTATCGTCCAACAAATGCCATTATCTTCTTGGACACCATTGGAAGAAAATTACTGGTTTTCTTATATTTGGACCTCAGGAATAGGGGCATATTTAACCATATTTTTTGTGACTACTGACTTGACTTGTTACAGGTATCCATAAACTTACAAGTAATATATCCTGTTCACAATTCGATGTCCACAGGTGCAGGTAAATTTATCACCTTTCCCTATCAAATAGCATTGAAAGGTGATTTTACCTGTACCTACCTGTGGACATCGGATTGTGAAAGGATAATATGTATTAAGAAAAATGAAGTAAAATCTGTTTTTTTTTTAAGATAAAAGTCAAACCGACATTATGTTGGCAATACAATGTAAAATTGTCAATGCTTTCAAATTTTTTATGTAGAAAAGGCTTGTGTTGCCAACATAGTTACTAAATTTTTGACTTGGGGAATTATCTTTAAAAAAAAACAGGCTTTAGGTACATTGCAAAGTGACTTATTTTAAAGTACCTACGTCTTTAGAGGTTTCTCTAAACTAGTAATTGATTAATGATTAATAACGTATAAATATTTTGTATAAAAACGGTAGGAAATTAATAAAGCAATTTCAAATGTTAAATCAGTGGTCATAGTTATTTGATTTCTTTTTTAGCTATATTATGTTTGCTATTTGCCAAATTAATATCCTCGATTATTTTATTTCCAATTTTTATAAATACTCCAACATTATAAAACAAGAGCAAAATTGCACCGAAGATGAATCTTATAGAATACTGCAAAGAGAATTGATAATAATGCACCAAGAAGTCATAAGGTACGTTAATAAATCAGAAATATAAATATTAATTCAAATTAAATTTTTAGCTATGTTAAAGATCTTAATGGAGCCTTAAAGTATATAATGCTCATGGATCTTGTTCCTAGCTCCGTACAGTTAGCTGGAATATTATTCCAAATGATGGTAAGTTTATATAAGTTGGCAGAAACGTAAACTGGATTCATTTTTTCCAGACAAACTTGAGCGTGATACAATGTATATTACTGGGACATTTCATTCTAACTCTAATAGCCAGAATTTTTATTTACTGTAACAGCGCAAATACTTTGGTTGTTAAAAGTGAAGCTATAGCCACTTCGTGGTACAATATGGATTGGACCAAACTGCCAACTGATATGAGAAGAAATGTTGCTTTATGTATACTTAGAGCGCAAAGGCCGCTGTATATTAGCATTGGAGATATGGGGAAAATTTCATTGAATACTTTTTTGGCAGTAAGCTTTCCATTTGCTAAATACAAGAAATAACATAATATTTTAAGCAAAATGTTCCGACGAGGACTGAACAGGGGCTTATTTTACAAAAAAAAAACAAAATACCAATTTGATAGAATTCAGAAGTCTTGAGATAACTCTGATGGTCTGTGAAGAAATCCAATTGGAAATTGAAACATTGAATGATAAGTTCTGGGGTTGTTAAATGTGTGATAAATATGATATCAAATTATATCATCGTTACCAACGGAAAACAAAAAAACAAGTCGCTGTTTGATCCTTGTTGGGACACTATGTGCTGACCTTATCAACTTTGACTTACTTTGTTGTTTTTAGATTTTGAAAGGCACTTATTCCTATATGATGCTTTTAACCACCATAAAATAAGCTTCATTTTACCTACACAGAAAAAATCTACAAGTCGAAATAATTTTTAGAGTAGGTATATCTAATATTATAGGGCACAATATAACTACTGCTTTCAAATTTGAACAAATTTGTCTTTTTTTTTTTGAATTCAACATCTCCCTTTCATTTTTCAGATGTTTCTTTAGAATGGTGCCTTGATTAGTTGATTTTTCCAAATTGAACTTCTAGTAATTGAAAAGGCTCCGAAAAATTTGCGCGTGTCCTCCTTATACTTGGAATTGACGTTTTCAATCAAAAGAGATGGACGATAGTAAGAAAACATTCATTTTCCCGCCAACATTTGCTTGCTTGTCAATGTCGATGAGTAGGGTGTTCAGCAATTTGAAATTGGGAAAAAATGTGGGGAAAGCAATGGAAGACCTGCTCCATTTGCAGAACTTTTCTATGGAGAGGGCGATGGAATATTTCGAAAGCAAACAGCCAGGGCCGGCCCTACTATAAGGCGAACTGAGCGAGCGCTCCAGGCGCCAGACTTCGGGGGGCGCCTTCGACTCGTTCCTTGGTAATACAAAAAAAGGGAAAAGTATATTTTCGCTTTGAATTCTGTCTCTGCTTTTCGATATCATGCTTCTCTGCTTGTGAGCAAGCTTGTGCTTACTTAGTATGAGAATAACCTGTCCTGACGTTTTTTTGAGACGCGCACGGATCGTGGGTGTGGTGGCGCCCAGTGGCGGCTGTCCCTAAGGGGCCGTGGCACTGGCGCAAAATATGTCGGTCCTTTTAAAATATTTTATTTCGTAGTTCAATAGTTATTACAATCGTCAGATCAAATTACTTATCATTTTATAATTTGATCCCGACGGAAAAATGTCTGTCGTTATTATTCCTAAATTTCCTAGACAATAATTTAGGCGACTGACTAAACTAAACTCGCTGGACTATCCGTCCGAGCCCATCTCACAACGGCCCCGCTACAACACGGCAATTACGTTGGAGAAGGTCACGCCGCGCTCCCAGTAACCAGCTGTTTTCATACGTATAAACGGGGCCACCTGATCGAACGGTCCGGATTAGTTTTTGCGGCAATTTAATTTGATCCGGATCAGTCTTTACTAGTCTGGATAAGGTCTGGATAAATCTGGATAAAGTCTGTAAAACTCTGGATAAGTCTGGATATTGTCTGTAAAAGTCTCGGGAAACGTCTGGAAAAGACTTGGAAATTTCTGGAAGGGTCGGAAAAATTCTGGAAAAGGTCCCAATAGACCTGGGGATCATTTTCTAGAATCTGGATCAGTCTGAACAAGTCTGGATAAAGGCTGGATAAATCTGGATGGTTTGGAAAACTCTGGAAAGCTTTGGAAAAGTCTGGAAACATCTGGAAAAGGCCTGGAAACTTGTTGAAAGGGTCGGAAAAATTCTGGAAAAGGTCCCAAAAGACCTGGGCATCATTCTCTAGAATTCGGAGCAGTCTGTACAAGTCTGGATAAGGGCTGGATAAATCTAGATGAGATCTGTAAAACTCTGGATAAGTCTGGATATTGTCTGGAAATCTCTGGAAACGTTTGGAAAAGGCCTGGAAACTTCTTGCAAGGGTCGGAAAAATTCTGGATAAAGGTCCCAAAAGATCTAGGAATCATTTTCCAGAATCCGGATCAGTCTGTACAAGTCTGGATAAATCTGGATGAAATCTGGAAAACTCTGGAAAGCTCTGAATAAGTCTGGATAATGTCCGCAAAAGTCTGGAAATCTCTGGGGCGAATTCAGGAATGACACACTCAGTGTGAGTGTGATACCTGTGCGACGCACTAGCCGTTCATAAATGCTATAGGCACACAGGCACACCGAGTGCGCGCACTCTGTGCCGTTCAGAAAGTACTTCGGGCACACTCCAGGTGTCGCACCGGTCACACCATAATTTTTTGATAGTGTCTTTATGTCAACAATGGCAACCATTCCTCCCATAATCTCAATAATCCCACAAAATATAAACAAAACACAAATAAGAATTAAAGTTTTTTCTTCAAAATAAAAAAATGAACAACAAAATAATACATCGAGGAAATGGTAAATGCCCACGTTTGAATTGAGAATAAGTGAAAAAACTTTCTGAGGCGTGTTTTTTTTACAACTTTTAGATCAAAATTTGGGTTAGTTTGAGTCAGTCCAAAAAAATTTGCGCGCCTCTGGGGCTTCCCCCCTGAGTGTGTGCACCGCCAACTTTTCCTCTCACCAGCCGCCACTGGTGGCGCCCTTACCCGATCATTTGATCACGATATTTCGGATAGTGATAACAGTCACCCGAAAGCAGTCCTTCAGGCGTTAGCATTTAATAATTGGCAAGATACGTTTCCTTATATCTGGACAGCTCTCCGTATTTTTGTTACCATTCCTGTTACAGTGCCGAAAGGTGAACGGAGCTTTAGTAAGCTTAAATTAATTAAAACTTACCTTAGCGGTCAACTGATAAGATTTGGCAACTATGTACGAGTAGTGTTTGCCTTTCTACAGCTCTCAATTTTTGCAAAAATTAAGTGTATTTTATTAAGAAGTGAGTGATCCGAAGTTTTAAATTAACAGAAGAACGATAAATCAACACCACTGTACGAAAATCTGGGGTGAGACAATTGTTTTTCGACCGCATCTTTGTTTTTAAAGTCAATTTTACTTAAAGTGAGGTTGGGATTTAGCTGGGATTTAATTGGGACTTGGGACTTGCTTCGATCGGCGTGTGCTCGGCGTTGCCGGACTGTAAATTGGGAGTCAACAGTCAACAAACGTAATTTTTACGGAAATCTCGACGTCGATTTCTGTTTTCGCATAATTATACTTCGGTCAGCAAAATTGTTGCAGTTGATCTGCCGCTGCTGAATAATGGCTCCCCCTACGCGTAGTGGTGCTACAATATCCGAAGTAGAACAATCGATGGAGAAAGTCTGTGCCAAATTGTTGAAGGACCTAGAAGAGCGTTTGTCTGTTAAAATAGACAAAATTAATGAAAAAATCGCTCAACTTGATGAATGTATCAACTCGGTAATTCGCTCAGCCGAAGATTGCCAGAAAAGGGTCTCCACTGTGGAAACTACGGTCGAAGCCCTACAGCAGTATATAAAACGTAATGCTTTGCGATTCAATGGGTTCCCCGAAAGAAATAATGAAAAGTTGTCCAAGGCTATCTCGGAGTTTATTTCGACTACTCTGAAAATCGATTGCACTCTCAGAGACATTGACAGTGCATATAGAATTGGCCAATCTTCAGAGGGTCAAAATCGACCAATCATTGTAAACTTTCTTCGAAACGATCTGCGCAGCCAAGTTTATGCATCGAAATCCAAACTCAAAGGCACGGCGTTCTCTATCTTTGAAGACCTTACAAAATCTCGCTTTGACCTATTGCAGAATGCCAAGAAAAAGCATGGGAACAAGTCAGTATGGACACTATCTGGAAAAATTTATGCAATTGACAATGGTAAAAAAATCAACATCCAATTTTGAGCAGATTGTTAATAAATTTACTGCCACGACCTGGCTGCTCCGTCGACCCGGTCAAGCCTTACATATCTGCTACCTTTGTTCCTGCTTGAATTCTTGCTTACCGATCCTGCAATAATTGGCACGCTGCTAAGACGTCCTAATTCTCCTAAGAGAAGGAAAAAGTAGTGCTTTAAATTTCAGTAAATTGTTGGAACACAAGAATGTTCAGGTACTGTTTTTTTTTTCCTCTCCTTTTATTAGTATTATTTATATATATATATATTTTTTTTAAATTTTTATTGTTGATGTTATTATTAGGTTTTACCTCAATCTCTTTAATTTAATTTAAATTTAATTAATTAAATATGAAATTAAAAACTACCATTATTTTATCAATTTATTTACCTCAAAAGGATTGTTGACTTTTCTAACTAACTAATTATTACCTTTGATAAACTAATCAAGTACCTACAATACCATTTGGCTTTTTCTTCTATTTAAATATACAAATGTGTATTTACCTTTTATATGCTAATTACTTGCGGATCGGAACATGTATAGTTTGTAGAAATTTTACTTCATAAATAATTAACTAGGTATTGCTATAATTTATTTTTATTTTTTTTGGTTCGGTTCTTACTTAATACTCATTGGTTGGGAGCTGTGTGTTGTGGGCCTACTACTGCTCGGTATTCGAGTGACTGGAACCAGCTCAATTTATTTTATTTATATTTTTTTCTATTTCATCCTATTTTTATTTTATTTTTTTTATTTCTTGTGGTAACTATTTATTTTTTTATTTTTACTAATATAATATAGGATAAAATGAGAAGTCAGTTAGTGACTTTTGCACACTTTAATGCTAGATCTTTGTTGTCGAACTTTGATATTTTTTCCGAATTTTTATCTCAAAATGAGTATGACATTGTGGGAATATCTGAGACATGGCTGTCTTCCGACATCCCGGATTGCGTTGTAAATATTAGTGGTTATAAAATATTGCGTATTGATCGGCCAACCCGGGGTGGAGGTGTTGCCTTTTACTATAAGAGCCACATTAAAATACAAAAAATTAATATCTCTAACTGTGAAAATAGTGCAGCTATTGAGCAAGTCTGGGTTACCGCTAAACTTAATGGAAGAAAGGTATGTTTGGGTAGCGTCTATCGTGCTCCTAATATAAATTTTTTGACATTTCTCAGTGCACTAGAAAATGTTTTGAGCTTTTTGATACCACAGCATGATTTTTTAGCTTTTGGTGGAGATTGTAACGTTGACCTGTTGGCGAATAATAATACAGCTACACAATTCACTGAATTTGTGAATCGCTTTGGTCTTGAGCAGATTGTGACAGAGCCTACCAGGGTCAAGGAAAATTCTAGCACTTTGCTGGATGTTTTGGTTATCTCCGATACCACCTTGTGCAGGGAAGTGGAAGTGCTCACAATGCTCATTTTGTCTCCTGTAAGTTAAAATTTTACAGAGAAAAACATCCAACTATGTTCAGAACTTATAGAGATTTTTCGCGGTTCAACTTCGAACTATTT